TCCAGAAGTCTGGATTTGTGTGGAAACCCTCAAATTCCGGTGAAGTAGATTCATAGAACAAATGATAAACCACGGGCAGAGAAATGGTGGCTTTAATACACAGTCATAATCCTATGTTTCTCTCCTTTTCCTTCTTTTATTTAGAAAAAAAAAGATATATATTGATAAGCAGCATTAGGTTATGCTTTTTTATTTTTCCCTAGAAAAAGGTCTGTAGATTAGATCATTCTGAGCCAGACATGTGGTTATATAGTCAAATGGAAACTCATGTGTGATACTAACTTTTCTGATCAGAAGTCTGACTCTGAAGCTTTAGAACAGGCTGACAGAACCATCATTTGTATATAGAACAGCAGTAAAAACTGTGAAACTTGTAATTATCTCTGCTTAGAATATCTGTTAACAGGTTGTGGTTCCTGTCCTGGCCTTCATGGGTGTTATTTGGAAGCAATTATTAGAGTGAATTTAATTAAGTGTCTTAAATGATAACTTATGGAAGCATTGTCGTGAATAGTGCTCTTATACAGTTTGTTGTGTATTCATGTGCCATGCACTGTCCTCTGTCCACTTCCAGCAACAGCTGTGCAGTGAATAATCTATGACTACAACCAAAAAAAACCTGCAGAGAGTTGCTTCAGTTCTTCATTAAAACACATACTTGCAAGTATTTTGTCAGCATCGTCAGGAGTTAAATGTAAACCCAAGTGTATTACTGAATCTAGGACTGGGATGGTGGTTTGTGATTGCATATAAAGTTGTTTAATCGTCTTCGTTTTTTAACCTATTCGTGTATCTGGTGAAAATTCATCTACACTGGGGGATTCAGCAAATCCCAAACCTGCTTGCTATTTGTTGCAGAATCCAGGCCAGACATCTCTATGTGCCACCCGAAATGCACCTGCAATGTCGGCATCTCAGGGGGAGGCTCCCATGGATAAAGTTCCTTTCCAATCTCTGACTGTGATTGCTTTTTAAATAGTGGCTTTTTTTCATTAACTAGCCCAGATAGGTTGCTGGTCTTACTTTTTCTCATTTTGCTTAACTTTCACATCCCTCTGACCAGAAACAGCTCTTTTCTGAAGAAATCTGGGTGGTTTTGAACAGATGTGGAGACATGACAGAGTTCATTTAGAACATAATCAATAGATAATAATAGGGTACTCAGAGAAATTGCAGTGAATGACAAGTACCATCAGCCTTTTCAAAACAGCAAAATTAGACATTTTTAACTCCACATGCACAACAGTGTTAGAAGAAGCAGGAAATTACTAATTTGGAATCCTTTTATTATGTTCTAGCTTTTAAAAAACGATATTGTAACATTCTCAAGCATTATCCTGATCTTTCTCTGCTCTCTGTCTCTATAGGAAGTAAAATACTCTTCCATGTGTTATTTGAAGCATGTTGGCTTTCTCATGTTCTTAGTTCTATTATTCTTCTTCCTCCCTGAGGCTTGACATTGGTCAGCCTGTCAGGATGAGGCTCCAGCATCCCTCATGTAAGATCTGCTATTTTCATTACTGTAAAGAACTGTCTGTTTTATGAAACTTGTAATCCTCAGACTCCTGTGATAATCGGAGGTAGGTAATCAGAGTATGGGAAGGTTTGCATTATTGTCATTGCCTGTGCCCGTTTTTGCAACACTGTTGAGAGGTCTGAGCTGGATTTTGTGTCCTCAGCCTTTGAGATTCTTGTTGTGGTGGGAGGGAGGACCCTTCCCCTGCAGCCCACCCATGGTCAGGCTTACAACCATAAACATCTTTAGACTGTGAGAGTCATGAGGTGCCTGGTTTGGGGTTCAAACCTAGCTGGCAGAGGCAGTGTTGAAGTGGGGATTGGTCTTTCACATCCCAAGACACGGTGGTCATCTCTCCTTCTGTCTCCTGGCAGTTACCAAGAGTCCTCAGGGTTTTGATCTTCAAAAACCTTGGTGTGAACAAAATAAATGTAAATGCATCCTGATTCTTCTTCACCTCTTCCTTCTGACTCTTCCACTCCTCGATTACCCTTGCCCTGGGGCCACAGCCTTTTGTCTGATGCAAAAGCAAGCCCCACCACTGTCACAGTACTCCTTTGTGCAGAACATGTGGGATCTCAGATGCTTCCAGCTGTGTGAAATACAGGCAATTTATACAACCCTGGTACATGTACCAATATAGCTTGCATACCACTTGTAAATCTTGGCTTCCTTGAGTTTTTTATAGTGTGTCATGACTTGAAGTTCACTGTTTTATATGCAGGCAGGTCATTTCTGTTTGCATCATCAAGGCTACACTATGCAAGTCAGGGTCAGAAGGAGCTGGCTGTCAATCTGATAATCTCAGTTTTCAGTAAAAAATTGGCAAAGAAAGGGCGCTTGCAAAGGGAAAAACAGTGACATGAGAGTCACTGAGTGGCTGTGTTCTCACTGTTGGACTGAACAGGATTTCCTACACTGACTGTGAGCACTAAGGAAGCCAGAACAAAGGTGAAAAATGCTTTTATAAAAGGGATCATCAGAAAAAAAAGCAGGTTCGGTGATCACTGAGGCTTGTCTTAATACATGAGCAAAGTCTCCTGAGAGCAGTAAGCTGCTCTCCTCACTGCATTCCCATTGGCTAGAAGATATTTTATTTTATTTTATTTTATTTTGTTTTATTTATTCTTTATACAGCCTATATCTTGGGTAAGTTGTGCCGCTGCTTGCGGCTACTTAAAAATTGAAGTAAACAATTGTGAACAGAAATATCATTCATAATCTCTGCAAATGTACAGAACCAGTAAAAACATTAGGCTTGGAGATGTGAATAAAGTTGCATCTTGATAGAGTTTGCCAGCTGGGAGCCTGCCATTTACAGTTGCTTTCAAAGCACTTTCCTAGTTGCTAACTAAACTGCTCTCCTTAAAGAAAGCAGAAGAGGAGAAATAATCTGAGCTAATACATACTGGTTGCTCAGATGATGCGCAAATGTTGATGAGAATTACCTAAAATGTCCTGGTTAAGAGATAAGCTTGTGAACTTTGCAAACAGTACACAGAGATTAGTTGTTTTGTTGATTTGTTGGTTTTTTAACCTACTGGGCTAATTATGTGTCTCCGTAACCTGTGGCAGCTAGGCATTTCACTCGCAGCCTACATCTATTTTCAGATGATCTATATTTGTTCTATATTTGATGTCTTTCACAATTTCTGTAGTTATTTCCAGGTGGATATTCTCGTTTGGGCATCTATTCTCTCAGTGAACAGACAGGCTGTCTATTTATTGAAATCCATGGTGAAGATTAAAGCACAGAATCGATTAGGAGTGCTTTGAATCTGCGAAGTTCAACCTGTCTTTCATTTACATTTCAGGCCTTACTTCACCCCCTATGTGATTACATTCACTCTACAAACCCTATTCCCACAAAATATTTAGGTAATAGATTTAGATGCAAATGTACAACCATTTTCTGTCTGAAAGTTGAGGGTGTCTCAAACTTGAGTGCACTAAATTGGCACATTTATAGAAGTCTTGGTGGCCCAGTTTCCATGGGACAGGCACCTGTTCTACCAGAGATAAACATCTACTTGCTGTATTATGTCTCCTTTTAATGAAGATTTGAAGTTCTCCATTTATGAGCCACACATCACAGCACTTGAGGAAAAGAAAAACACAGGTTTCCACCTTTTTGACAGATAAGAGGGCATAACCAGACAAGTTCCACTTTGCAGAAGGTCTCACCAATGAAATGCAAGCTATTCCACAGCTCTCTTCCTCAGCTGCTTCTTCTAAATACCCATCACAAACAGCATCTTCCCATTCCTGCGAGAATGCTCTAATCCTATCTCTGAAGGGCTTTCTGGTTCCCTTCTAAAAAATTCAAAATTTTTCTTTGCTGTGCGAAAAACTTTGTCATAGTCTTCAGCTCACAGGACAGCACAGTAAGCAAAGCTGGGACACAAACACATTCATTAGAAATAACCTGAAACCTATGAAAAAGTCATGAAACCAATTTATTTTAAAAAGTATTCATTATCAAAAGCATCTCAGTTCTAAAGGGGAAAAGCTGTCCAAAGAAATTTAGCCACCTCTAATAACATCTTATTTCAGACAGTGCTGTTCTACCTGATAAATGAATGTTTGTACAGTGCTTTAAGATCAGTGCCTAACAAGGAAGGTTAATATCTTGTTATGTGTAAATGTTAGAATTAACAATTTAGACAATATAGAAAAGGAGTACAAAGCCAGGTTACTCTTATCATTTCATCAAAGCCAGGTTTAACCATCTTCTTTTTTTGGCTGCTGGCTTAATTAGAAAAGCTGCTGAATTTAATTAACTCATCAGACCTAATTTGAAAAGATCTCTCAAGTCAGTAAGAGCTTGTCTTATGCTTATTATTTCTATTTGTTGTATTGACCCTTTAATATCACCATTTTGCTAGGATATTAATGGTAACCTTAATTGTGTTCTAATTTACTGGATTTACACAGGTGATGGCATTTTGCTCATTTTTCAAGTGTCAGCATGTGAAAATCAATCACAATTTAATTTAAGGCAGTGAAATTGCTCTTCTACCCCTCTATTAAGTCAGCTACATACTATCTCTTCTCTCATAAGTGTAATTTGGATTTACAAGGTGAAATTATTTCGTAAGAAATCACGTTGAGTTTCTGAAGTCCCATTTCCTGGACAAGTGTTATGACAAAAATGCTCCTCTAGATGCTCTTTCGGGACTGTTTAACCAAACTGTTAGATAGTAAATTTGAAACTGAACATGCTATTACAACTATATAACTCATCTGAACATATCTGTGTGTGATACTCCAGTTTGTTGTACTGGTCTGAAACTGCTTGATAATTACTAAAGAAAGAATTACTAACAAGGAATCTAAATTGCAAAATTAAATCAGGTGCTTTCCAGACAGTATTTTTGCAGATGTAACCTTGCTCATAATTGCTCTCTCACCTTTTTTTGTTTGTTTGTTTGAGGCATGCTTTCAAGTGCACAACTAGATAACTAATTTTTCTGTTTTCCCTTAGAATGACTATAGGAAGCTATCTATGCAATGCAAGGACTTCGTCGTGGGGGTGCTGGACCTGTGCAGAGACACCGAAGAAGTAGAGGCTATTCTGAATGGGGATGTGAACATACATTTGTACCCCGACCACCACCGGCCAAGTCTGAGCAGGATTAAACTTGCTATTAAATATGAGGTCAAAAAGGTAAGCTATTTCTTCATTTCTAAGTCATGCTTCATTGTTGTTGCCTGAAAAATAATAAACGAAAGGTAGATTTCAGCAAGGTCAGGACTACTCCTAGTATTTTAACATTTTATGGCTTGATTTGCATTTTCTCACATGCCTTAATATGGAGACGGTTATTTGCAAAGGGCATCTTGCAGCAGGTATGGCATTTATTTTAAAGTGGTAGGCAGGGATACAGAGATGGCCCAAGGAACTGCCCCTAGAGCACAGAGCTTCTCGTACAGGTCGTGACTGTGAATCTTTGAAGAGGTCAGCAAAAGTCATTACCAAACTGAGGGTCTTCCCTCCTTCACTATGACTTACAGGAAGGTAAGGGATGAACCTAGTGGATGCTGTGGCATCTTGGGCCACAAATTATAAAAGCAGACAACTTAGTCTAGATCCTTGCTGTTTCCACATCACCTGTCTTTCCTTCAGACTAAATCTTCTGCTTTGACTGAGGAAACAGCTGAACTCTGCAGAAGTCAGACACAAGTCTCTTGTCTCATCTGTCTGCTCTCAAATGCTCCCTGACCCCTTAGCTCTGATCCTCATCTCATGTTCCCCAAAGCCACTTACAACCATAAAAAAATGCTACCTTTTCCGTAATGTTACAGAAAGTACATAAACAAGATGGAAAGTGGAATTAACTTTTTTAAAAGAAGTTCTGTCATTTTTAGTCAGAATTAGATCGAAACCTCAGAAATCGATTTCTGGTTAACTTGGAATTTTGATTTTATTTTTTTTTGAAAGCATGTGAAAGTGGTTTAACATTGATAAAAAGTGATAAATTCCCAGATTCCACTCTCCTACAGCTCCAGATCCATATTCTAGGAGTTCAGATTTTCCAAAATCTAGAAATCAGAAGGAGGATACGTATTTAAGGAAAAACATGAAGACTGAATGACTTTTAGGGGTATTTTAAACAAATGTTCAGCTTTACCAAAGGATGTTATGTGAATGGAAAATTTGATTCTGGCAAATCCTAGGCCTGGGTGGTCCCAATTAATTGCTCCTACAATATGCATTGATGGAAACTGGGCTCCTGCTACAGGACTCAGACAGCGTTCCAAATTTTCAAGCTAACATCTGCTCTCTCTTTCCCCTCCCAAACCCACCACCTGCTTCAGTTTGCCTCTTGACTGTGCTGCTGTGCTGGCTAGAGAAGGTCTTTTCCTGTTATGAAAGCCATTAATTAAAGAGAACCTTAAAACCCTTACTTGAAATGAATTGCTTTCATGCAGGAGCGCATAGTATGGAGCCAAATATTTCCTCCTAGGATTTTGTGTCTCTGCAGCATTCTAATCCCAAGCCTGAGAATAACATCCCAGTTCACTCTTAGATGCTTTTCAATAAGCTGGGTCAAGTTATTGAAGCTGTTGCTTTGATAATAGGAGGCCAAACTTGCCCTGGTGCTCTTCCAGAAAATGAACACACCTAAAAGGCATCAGGAAATAGTCCCACAGTTACCTGTGGTCTGAGAATTACCATGAAGTTGGTCAAAACCTCAAGCCTTTCCGTTGTATGAAGTCTTCTGCACTATTTTACCTGTTTATTCTTAAAAATACTTAGGTCACCCTTTAGATACCAAGTCCATTACCTGGAACTATATTGCTGTTAGTTATTGAGCTGAACACATCCAACCCTGCTTAGCTGGATTCAGAGGAACAATTCTTCCATTTCTTACATTGCATGTATGTGTTCCTTCTCATAATGTAGAACACTGACCTAAAGCATCTGTGGTAGCTTGATCTTTTATGCATAAATATCTTCCCACACTCGGGAAAGCTGAGCAGCCTTCCTGGATCACAGCAACTTGTTGCGCACCAATAATAACTGTTAAACTAATTAAAAATCACAGACATGAGTATTGGTCAACCTGATGTTGACTCTCAGGTTAGCACTTTTCAGAATATTCTTTTCAGCAGGCAGTATATGTTTATGTGTAAGATGAACATTTAACTGCTAACTCGAAAGTAAGATAGTTCCATTTCTGGGAGGCAGAGACACGTCCAGATAAATGGCTTTGGTTATTGGCAGTGACGTATGATAATAGGCTGATATTTATCACACTTGCTGAACAAAGAGCTTGTGTTATGGTAACACAGTAATGATTCCCTTAAGAGGCAATACATTTCAAGTGCAAGGCTTTTATCCAGCTGAGAGATATTTAGGCTTATGTATACAAAACCTATGCTTTGAAAGCTATTTTCAATTTAAGAAAATCCAATAACAGAGAGGGGTGAGATGGAGGGTGTACTCTTACAGGTATTTAATAAATCAATTCTTGGGTATATTCTGTAAATTTCAAGTCACTTTTTCAAAGCAAACACCATGACTTTAGGTGTGAGATCGTACGTGACTCTACACTCACCCAGGGATGTGGATGCATTTCCAGTTTTTTAACTGTACTCTAGGACCGGAATGACACAGAAATAGGTGGTGTTTGCCATTTTTTATTGTTCTGGAAGTTTAGTTGACAGAGTAGGACTAATGAAGGGACTACAGCTGTGCCTGCATCCATGCTCCAGACTATATATTTTCATTTACATCTAAAATTTTAAGAAACATTTGATGTTTTAAAAATCTATTTCGACCATTAACTTCTTAATTCACATTTCCATATTAGTACTCTAAGTGCCTACACTAGACTTTCTTGGATGAAAATTCTCAGAGAATCATTTATATTGGAAATTATTATTTAATATCCTTGATTTTACTTTTACAGCTGCTGATGCTGTCTGCATTTTATCACACTTTTAGTTCCAGAATCTGGGAAAGATGTCAAGGGCTCCCATCCTCAGGAAGGAGAGCAATTGAATTTGTAGAGCTTCATCAGACCTCTGCATAGACTTTTAAAATCTTCCTTAAATTTATCTGTTACTTCCTCATCCTCATAAAATCCAGTCACCACAGCCACAGTGTCCAAGAATGGTATTTGTCTTTAATAGTAGCAGCTCCTCTACTACCTCCTGCCACCTCATGCCCAGCTCACACCCCTCATGGAGTTGTCCTCCCTTTCAAAGGCCAATGGCCACGGAGGCCAGGAGGAGGCAGAAAGAGCAGAATTTTGGAACTGAGAGGCATCACATCGCATTTAATGGATTTAAATCGACCCTGCCATCTTTTGCATTTTTCTTCCTGTGTGCCCATCCAAAAATTTTACGGATGTGATTGATGCAACACACACAGCTGAAATTTGAAGTCCTAATTTTGGTTCTACCATAGTATCTTCTTGATTCTGAATTCATTAACTGCATTCCCCAATATGTCACCCTTGACTGGAGGTAGAGTCTGCACCTCCCTGGTGTGTCCAGTGTACATCAAGCCTGCACAGCACAGACTCTGCCATGAAGTCTGCAGTAGCTTTTGGCCCCAAACACTGTGTTTCTTGTGCCTCTGTTGTGGAAGGGAAAGTCCTTACTTGAAAATCCTCAAGTCTGGGAACAACCGGTCCTTGAGCCAACCATTCACAACCCTGGTCATTGATTAGGCTCTATTGGTGCAGGGAAATCCTTGTGTGCTTGTCAGGGCTAAAAAGGGGATTGAAGCCTTCTTACCTCAGTAAACCTGCAACTGGTACCTACAACAGGTTTTTGTCCAAGCCTTAAATGACCTTTCTCTGCACTTTTTTCTGAATGTTTCCCATTAAAATCCCCTGTCACCTCACCCCTTTCCTACCCCCCCCAAAAAAAAGTTCTGCATTCAACTGAAAGGGCACAGTTTTGTTGATCATTGTACTTTTTTCCTGAATTTCCAAAATTTGAGATGAATCTTGGAAAGTCACTGAAGAAAGCATCAAAAGTTCCAGACTTCACTTGTCCTTCTCTTTTCTTTCCTTTTTTTTTTTTTTTTGCAAAGCATACTACTAGCACATATGAGATGCTGGCAAGAAAACAAGTTTAAGACTCTAATGTAATTGAAAGACTTTATATAGAAGGTCGTTTGAGAATTAAGAAACTCTGCTTGTACATATTTCCCAGTAAGGAGAAAGCTAAAATTACAGTAGTTTATGAAGTGGTCTTTAAAAATGCTCTATTACTCTAATTCTCTACCCCTTTTGAAAGACCTAAATAATCAGTCTCTACTCCAGGATTCTTGGAAAACTGCACTCGAAAGCCCTCTGTTCAAGTTTTCCAGAGTAATTTCTCCGTTCGAATTTATCTGTCTTAATGATTCATGATTGCTCGACAATTATTACAATGGAAACAGTTTGTCAAGAGCAAACCAAACAATCTGCAAACATTTGAGCATTTACTGACTCCTGGATTCTTTCCAAGAACTGGACTTTTAGCTCATGTTATGGGATTGTTGCAAATTTGCCGTTGGCTCCCCTGACGTTATTTGGCTGTGCTTTTCCCTTGCACACTCTAAACAAGAACTATTTTCCTTCTCCTCCAGCTGTGCAAGACAGAGAGGGGAGGAAGGTTGGGAGGAGAAACAGCATCAACAGAGTGCTCTGCTGCTCTATCAGGACTATTCAGGTGGTTTTTGTGGATGTTGTATGAGAGGGCTGGGGAATTGTTGCAGCATGAGAGCAAACAGTACAGTGGAGTCCACCAGCTGAAAATGGCAAAAGTAAAAGCAGAGTTAAGATGAAACAGGAATTATTTACATTGGATGTATCTGGTGGATTATAGCCAAAAGTGGCTTCATTTGCTAAACTGAAATTTTGGTCCCAAGGAAAGAAAATAATACAGATCTTTGGCTTCTTGAGCCCAGTCTCAGCTGCTCTTCATGCAGACTTAAAACACCGAAGTGAGAGTTTACTTCATATTCTTGACTGTGAACTGCAGAATAATGGGTGTTTTTGTTCATTTCTTGAAACACTTAACAGCAATCAGATACTGGGAATATAAGGGTAGCACAAATTTTCCCTTTGTGTGAACTCATTTCCAATTAAGCCAAGCTATGACTTCTACCTGTGAGAGGCACAGGTACAGAGGCTGGGACAACGGTGGCTTGGACTTTTTCCTTGG